GGGCGGAGCTAATGGGTATCTGGGATCGTTTCCCCTAAGCAATATGGTCATTTTTTGGCGCAGGTTACTGGAGTAGCAGGATCTAGATCAAGGTGCCCTAATGAGTGTTGTTACCCTCTTCTGGCATGTATGGAAGGCCAGAAATTGGGTGGTTTTCGATTTTACTCAATACATTGTGCCGGTGTTGCTTTCTCAATTTAGATTACAGGTTGGAAAGTGGGATGCCTTACCCAACAACCAGGGCGTTCGCCGCCGGTACTCAGGGGGCCCAGTTGCTAGAGGTAGAGAGGACTAGGTGAGCGGGTGATGTTCGTGGATGGGGCTACGGCTAGTGGATCTCATGGTGTGGGCGGATGGGTTCTATAAGATCCCACAGGCATGGTGGTGGTGGCGTCAGCAGCATTATATGCGGGAATTTCAGAGTCGGCTCTTGTGAAGTTATTGGCCTTCCGAGATGAGGTTTGGTGCTTGGCGTGCGGGTTACATCCGATGACTTTTGCAGGTGACGCCCAAGTAATTTTGAGAAAGATCCGGGAGGGCAAGGTAGCCGATGTCCTTGGGGGGTATGCTTTTGGACGAGATAAGAAGTTTGAGAGGCTCATTCCAGGAGTTTAAATTTATTTTTGTTGGTCATGCATGTAGCAGGGTTGCCGACTTGGTGGCAAGAAAAACCCTTTCGTTGTCCCCCTCTTTGGTGGGGTTCAATTTTGTTTCTTGGTTGTTTTTCAGCTATGTGACTCCTTGTATCTGGATGTTTTCTCGGTAATACGAGTGATCTTTTTGGCAATAACAAAAAAAAAGTCAACTGGAGGAAGCTGTAGCAGGTGGGTGGTGGGGGACAATTATGAATGGAGGACAAAAATGTCATTTACTTAAAAATTGTGGGCGACAATTAGTAATTCTTCGGGCGGCAAATAACAACCCTCTTAGTATATAATATGTACATCTTTGATACAGGACAACTAAAGTTCAGTTTTTTTGTATTGTCAGCTTTATAGTCTTGAATTTATACTAGAAAGCCAATTTAAACACTTTTTGTATGTTCTTCTCAACTCCAGTTGTTTGTTCATCTTTATGGTCGTTTGAATGTAGCATTTGGATGAGTTATTTTCGCCGACATAATTCATTCTGAGTTATTTGTGTCTTAATAACTTGTTTGGTAAACAAAATGTGAGTTGGAATATTTTTTAGACCTGCGACAATTGAAATGATCAGTGTTATTAAGACCGAACTGAGTCGGTCGGACCGGTAAAACCGTCACCCGACCACCGGCCCAGCTCGGTAGAGTCAATTAATCGGAGCGGCTGGAAAGGACGGTCTGTGAGCGGCCGGAACGGTTAACCGTTCGAGCCGCTCGAACCGCCCAACCGATTTTTGACACCAAACTGGTTCGTTGCTATTAAAAAAAAATAAGAATGTTGGGTTGATCGGCTCTGTGCAACGCCGACTTCCTGTCATCCGATTCCTCCTTCCTCTGCGAGTCCCTCTCAGGCGGCCTCCCCTGCAACTCGTTCTCCGCCGAGAGATCCATCCCGCGACGAGGAGGCAAGCTCGCTGCCGATCACGCCTTCAGCTTCTCGTTGTCCGCCCGTGCTTCGACAATTGTTGGGGCTTTCGCCCATCGTGTGGAGCCGCCGACGCTCTTCCTCAATGTTGAGTTTGGATTAGCGGAGGAGGGGGTTCTCGAAAGAAAGAAGAAGGAAGAAGAAGAGTTGGGGCGGCGAGGGTTCTCAGAAAAAAGAAGAAGAAGAGTTGGGCGGCGCTGAATTGGGTTAGGGTTTTTCCCTTTAAGGGGTAATTATATAATATGTAAAATTACTACTTGATACTTAAAAAGGTAAATTTGTTTTTGGTCATTAAATTCTTAAGTTATTACCTTATATATCTTCTACTTATGATATTATCGTTTATAAGATACCGGTTCTCTAACGATTTTGTAACGGTCTAATACTGGTTGGACCGCTAAAGTTCGAGCCGTTCACGTTACCGGGTCATGCTCGGGTTCGGTTGTGACAACATTGGAAATGATGCATAATGAGTCAATTGAAATACCTCTTCCCCTAGACATTTCAATTAGCTCACTCTTCGCCTTTTTTTATGAGGAGAAATCCATCTTGCGACATCAAACCCCGACCCCAGTAGATACCCGAATACCTCTTCCCCTAGACATTTCAATATTAGCTTTACAGCCCTGCCGCCTGCCACCAAGGGGGTAACGCAGAAGTGGCAGCTGCCAAGAATCGAACCCAAAACCTCCTGTACACAAACATGCGCCTCTACCACCCCTTGGTGGTTTGCTCTTCCCTACTTTAAATAGTGAAATACTACAACATGCGAATCTTCTAAACAAGACAATTATACTCAATAACCATATTCCAATTAGAAAATACCACATGAAATGCCATATACCAAAGCAATGCAGCATTTTGATTCCAAATACCACATAACCAAAATGATGCATCCAAACGACCTTTATGTGGTTTTTATGAAAGTTTATTAGCTTGTGTGGCTACTAAAAGAGTACAAGATTTGAAAATATGATATTTTTTCCAAAATATTAGACTTACTAAAAAAATCACACAATATTTAATTTACACTGGAAAATTTTCAAAATACACAAGTTTAGACTTGATTATTGTAGTGTCCATCAACTTTTGTGCCAATCGTTGGAGATAAAAGTGATTTTACTCAAATCGTTGCTAACATACTCGCTTTAGCAAAATCGTTATCTGTGCGTACTCTAGCAATCTTGCTTCAAAATCACTAGAGGCTACAGTGATTTCCATCTAATCTAGATTGAAATTTCATATGCGCGTAATTTTACGTTCGATTATCCAATCGAATTGATTTTCTTCATGTAGCATAAATTTTCTGAGATTTTTGAAATCGCAAACAACGGAAGTGAATTTGGTTACTTTTTATCGTCTAATCAGACTCTTTTCTTGTAAATTAAGTCATTTTATGATGGAGTAGATTGCAAGGTTTGTCACTGAGATTACTAAAAAGGTTAATGTTTGCTCGCTACAAATATTTAATTCCATTTATGGTCACTAAAATTAATTCAACGGTTCAAGTTTGGTCACTCTCCGTCCAATTCTGTTAACTTTTGCTGATGTAGCAGTCAACTCTCGTAGTTGAGCGTTACATGTGTGGCGTGAAAATTAAAAAATATTAAAAAAATAAATTTTTATCTTTTAAATTTTCCACATCATTTCCAACTATTAAAAGTTAAAAAAAAAACTTAAACAGTAATAAAAAGGAGTAAAAACAGTAAGCCATTTATTGTGACAATGCAGCATTTTAAATTTTCCACGTCATTTCCAACTATTAAAAAGTTGCTCTAAAAACAGTAAACCACTTCACTGAGAAGTTTATAGATGTATAAAGGAAAATTATTAACTCTGTATAACCTCCTCTCTTCCTTTCCATCTACATATTCCTTGTTCCTCTACACGATCCTTAATTCACCTCCCACGGCGCCAGAATTTTGATATCAGGAGTTCTCTGCCAGCCGCCAACCCCGCTTCGAATACGATCATCCTGTGCTGCCATCACAATCCGCGCATGACTGCATCGGACAGCAGCGGTGAAGGCGCGGGTGGGGCGGATCGCTGACGTGGAAAGCAGGGCTATCACCGCTTTGGTCTTCAGCGGTGAAATGCCCGCACGCGTCCACGTCAGCGATCCGCGCCACTTCACCGCCTTTGGATCCAACGGTGAACGCCCTCACTGCTTCCCTCATCAACGGTCAAGCTGTCACTGTCAGCCTCGAAAGCGGTGATAGCATCACTGCTTTCGTCAAAAGCGGTGATAGCATCACTGCTTTTGTCGAAAGCGGTGATGTATCATCGTTTTAGACCAAAGCGGTGATCCTAATCACTGTCTTAAACAAAGACAGTGATGTTGAAACTGCTGTACTTTGGGAATTAATTTTATAAGTACTGTATTTAGAGAATTTTTTTTAATAATTAGAGTATTCTGGGATTTTTTCCTCAGATTGGATGCCCTTTATGCCAATTGCTTGGAGGAAAGAGGTAGGCATCGAGAATCAGTGTGATGGGGGCCATGGTTCCATTTTTCTGCATCCCCACCGGAAAAAGGTTTGCTTCCTACTCTTCCACATAGGATGGCAATTTTGCTCATACCCATGTGTTTTTTACTATCCAACCCAATTGGGTTAGGTATGAAATCCAAATAGATGGATATGGGTAGAGTTTGATGGGTTGGTATTCATAGCCATTTACTTTGGGTTGGGTTGGGTTTATAACAAATGGATTTGGGTTTGTACCCATGCCCAAATACAAATTACAGTTTGGTACCTAAACTTAATAGATATGCATATTTAGTACCTTTTTTTTTGCATATAAGTCCTCAAAATATCGATGAAAAATTACATTTTGGTACCTAATTTTTTTTGGTCTTATGTTATGGAAGTTCCACATAATCTTTTTGGAGCATGTCGGGGTCGGAGGCGAAGAAAGCAATGGAGGTGGCGGTGAAGACGTACAAGGATGAGAGACTAACTAATGAAGTTATTTGAAAATACCTAAATTTTCATCTTACAACTTTAAGCAGGAGATGGTTTGGGTGTTTTATCAGTGATATCAATGGAGGATAATATATAGTTAAACTTACAATTCTACCAAAGAGATGACTTGGGTGTTTGGGTCGAATCTTAACCATGATTCCATGAAAGTCAGTCAATGTTTGCTTCCTCTCAGAGTTGGGACAATAAATTGGTTTTTTAATTATTGTGAAAATGGGGTGGAAATTTAAAAAATAAAAATTTATTTTTTAAATATTTTTCTAATTGTCACGTTGCACATTTAACAGTCAACTATGAGAGTTTACTGTCACATCAACAAAAGTTAACAAAATTGGACGGAGAGTAATCAAACTTAAACAATTAAATTAATTTTAGTGATAATTAGATAATTAAATATTTGTAATGACCAAACATGACCAACTTTGTAATTGAAGTCAATTAAACTTTAACTTTAATGGCAATCTCGTCTTCACCTATAAATACTCGAGAGAGTAAAATTCATAGTTTCCTTTCCACTTTCCAGTAGCAATTAGCCATTTTTTTTGCATCATGTTATCATTAGTCCAAAGACCAACAAGAGTGAAGGAAGCGGGTGAATTCAAGCCAATTCTTACACAAAGTAAGAAAAACATTGGAGAAGCACTCTTTACAAGCTTCAAGGTCGATACTGTCTAGATGTATAAGCTTAATCACTTTTGTTCTCCTCCTCTAACATGTACTTCAGAGCTCACCAGCAGGACCACTGTTAACTCTCAAGTTTGAACACCAGAGAGTGAACCCGTGATGCTTTCACCAACCTCGCTTTTGCACAGAGGACAGGATGCATTGATTTTAAGCCACTTGTCCACGCAATCCTTGTGAAAGAAGTGAGAGCATGGCACCTCTCGCAGCTCGTCGTTGTTCGCATACTTCCCCAGACAAATGCAGCAAATCTGCAAAGAGAAGTACAACAAGTTCAATATTGAGAGATACATGCTTCATGCCGTGTCCATTGATGGGGAGACATGTTTTACCGCGTCTTCCCCGGAGATAACACGCTCCTTCTCGGTTCCTGCAGCTACCACCCCACCATCATTGTCACCTGCATTTCCGTCTCTTTTGTTTGACTTGAATTTGTATGTTGGTAGTGCACTGATCGACTCAGGTGTTGCTCCTCTGGTTTGGGTCAGATCCTCTCTGAACCCGAGGACTGAGATTATACAAGGCAGACAACAGCAGATAGTGGCACACAGAATGAAGGGCATGGCGTATCCAATGCAGCTGATAGTGAGAAACACTATACATAACCTGCCAACAGAAAGACGATAACACACAAAGGAACGATCAGTCCTGCCATGCGGGGGAAATAATAATAATAATAATAATAATAATAATAATAATAATAATAATAATAATAATAATAATAATAGTAATAATAATAATAGTGTAGCTGCATATGCACGAGAAGTACCTATACATGTTTGGAGCATCAGTTGCCGAAGAATGACCACCAAAGATCCACACGTTACCCACCACAAACCAAACAGCAAAGAAGCAATCCAATCCCATTTTGAAGTACTCAACTAGGACCTTGACCCTGCAAGGTTATAACAAAGTTCATTGTTGCAGCACAATTTTGACAGAGCAGACATTTTCAACAGGGAACACTTGCCAATAGGAATCTACTTTCTGAAACAGCTAGTGAAGCTCTATAAATGTAAAAAATCGGATCCTGCTTCTATAGGGCTAAAACTTGGGGGTTTTCCCCATACCAAGACTAATCAGTATTAAGCGTTGTAACATTAATTGATGTAGATTATTGAAGAAGTGAAGTAGCTCGGCGAGTGTATACTTCCCTTAGGATTTTACAGCTTTCCTCTTATTGCAGTTTGCCATGTGCTATTTATACCAATACAGAGCTTAGCATTTATTGTATCGCTAGGCTTAACTTTAATTACGAATACACACACATCTCTAAAAATAGAACAAACTGATAACATGCCATGAATGGCATAAACTTACTAGATTCAACAATGGATAACAATAGGTAGATAGCCTATGCGCTTCAACTAAGCTATTTGCCTTAAGCAAGAGATAATAATGCCCCCTAAAATAAAATGCAACAGTAACGATATGGACTGCAACCATATCAAAATAGTTAAGCTCCACGTGAAAACAGAAACTGCAACGGTTATCCTCTGCTTAAGGAGACTACAAAATGAAAAGCAACAGTTGAACCACAAGAATACTAAAATCATACCTCGAATTTACTGCTGCAGTACTTTGACCACCTCTAGGCGATCCAACTACAGGTTGACGATCTTCTCCACCAGAAGTCCTGGTCACTGAAAGAGAAAATGGTCCAGCGGGAACATTAATATGAGTCGAACCCTGACGAGTTTGGGCAGCATCTTGATCAGACCCTTGGTTTCGAAGATGATATCGCCAGTAAAGAAGGGGGAGAGTCGCTAAGCATCCAGACGCATAACCGATAATCCACACGAACAAGGGTGTGTGTGGGTGCTCGTCCTTCGATATGGACAAAACGACAATCGATGCAATGATCTGGCTCAATGTGAGAGCCAATTCTAATGATACCCATAGACCTGAGTTCAATGGACTCCTGCGTCTACTGTGAGCTTCCCCTCTCCTAGTACTCCGGGCACCTGATACATTCGATGACGATGTTGAAGGCTGAGAAACCGAGGGTGTTGAATTAGTTGAATGCCTGCTATCTGCTGAAAAGGTTTCTAGAGAATGTCCGCCATGGGATGTTGATTCAGAAGAAGAATCAACATTTCCAGGCACGTCGATGATGTGATCAGTACTCCTAAAAGTCTCGGTTCGCTCCATTAACAGTGGGCTAATATCTGTGAGATTCTCAGAATGTAGTTCCTGGGAGAGAACATCCATCTAATTCCACAGACCTCCTTAGATGTGATGAAACCATAGAATCTCAAAGCTAAGGTTACCACCCGACTCGAAAGCCACTAAATTCTCAAGGCAAGAACTACCCAGGAACACGGACAGTAATGGGTGATTCACCCTCTGTTCAACGAAACACAAAACAACGCACTTACAATCAGAATTGCCATGAAATCAGTAAAAGCACAGCATGGTAAAGTACTAAAAATGGTTAGATACGACAGAAACAGCTTTCATCGATTCATCCGAGAACCAAAAAAAATTGGCATATCAAGGGCTCTTGATTTGACGGGAATGGCTTTGACCGCCCAAAATCTAACTGACAACAAGAAAGGAGTCCCCAGTTCTTCAAATCTCTCCTTCCACACGGTATCAATGCCAAGTTGCAGGCCATTCAACCATGAGGCAATTCAATCCCAAAAGCAATAAACAAAAGAAAGAACTCAATCACCACATTGCAAAATATTATAGAATATACAGGAAAAAACAACGTTTTTTTCAGCTAACAACTCTGGGAAGATGACAAAAGTGAGCTGGGAGATTTCCTCGGCCGATAAATAGAAAAGAAGCAAAAAGAAAACCCCCTCCAAAGAACAGTGAAACTTTGACTCCGACGACTTGATTCGTTCTCAGATCAAGCAAATTTTTTGAAGTGAACCCGAAAAATTCCAAAGGGAAAGCGATAATGGGGAAGTGATCAACCATTCCCGAGAGCTCGAAACTCGAATCAAATTGGAAGAGAGAAGCAGAAAGATCGTAACCTGTTTGAAGCTTGGACCTTAGGTCGAAGTAAAATGAAAAGGAGCCAGAGCAGAACAGCGCCGGCTTCTCGCCTGGAGATGAACAGGGAGAAGCAAAAGGGCGGAGGCGATGGTAGGAGGAGGATGGGGCGCGTTTCGTCGCTTTTCTTTAAAGTTGGGTCGGAAAGGGATCAAGAGTCAGCTTTCCATTTCCATTGCTTCTCTGTTGGTCTGGGAATAAACATTTCTATCTATATACCTCTTTTAGTAGATTTTTGTAAAATAACTATTTTCGCGTGCAATTTGTTTTTATATTCACGAGATAGCTAAATTATTTTTTGGTGTGAACGAGATAGCTAAATAGGAAGTTGGAAAGAAAATTCCCGTAATAATACGCGAGAAAAAAAGATGAATATATTTAAGAATTGTTTGGGTGAAGTATTTGGGTAAAATACCTCGGGTACTACTTAAATTTGAGAATTGGGGTAGATATACTACTTAAATTTGAATAGGGCGTCGGGTACCATTGAACTCTAATATATGTGCACCCGGTACCACTTAAGTTTACTGTTATGTGTATTGCGTTAAAGTTGACAAAATATTCATGGAATATTCAGTTTTCTAAATTTCATAATTGGTCATTCTACTTTTCTTATTGTAAAAAACTATTTGGACTTATGGAAAACACAATATTTTATTGTTTAATTGGAATCCTCTTTTGGATACTTGATAGCAAATCAATTTTTTCAATAGAAAATTTAGAATCAATTATCATTATAAGTATTTTTAATTATCATTATGTGTTCTTATAATTGAATGATTTTCTGAAGCAAATATATCTTATGAATTCTGTCTCGATATAAATAATCCGAGAATGTTATATTTAGTTCTCTTACATCATGGTGATGTTGTCTAATTTTCCATATTAAATATCCTTTTAATTCTCTAATATTATATTGTAGATGTTTCATATTAGTTAAATTTAGTAATTCTAATTCTCTTCCTATAATCATATTTTATTTTCTATATTCTTTTATTGATTGTTGTAGCTTTTATAGTTCATTTATTACTTGGTTACTTTCCGTCTCTTTTCGTTCTAAATGTTTTTTCAATTACTGGAATATGTTTTATTCCTTATGATTGTGTTTCATTTATCTTTCTTTGATTTTGATGTATTGATGATCGATTATGTTCTATTTTAACTATTTCTGATGGTGCTTAAAATTGAATTAGGGTGTTTAAATAGATATTCTAATATTAATTTTAAATATTTATTATAATATTCTAGTGTACTTATTATTTTTATTAATATTCATTTAATATTTTCTAATTTATCTATTTTATGAAATATTTTGATTAGCCATTTTAGTAATAATATGTTTAGAAGGTTTCCTGTTTAGCCCTTCCTAAACAGAAAGGGGGACTGGGGGTCAAGGATTTGGTTGCTTGGAATCAGGCATGCACTATTAGAATGCTCTGGTTGTTCTTGATGAATTCAGGGACCTTATGGGTGGCGTGGATGAAGGAATACAAGTGTAGGCAATGTGATCTGTGGTCATTGAGAGTGGAGTATAGTAGCTCGTGGGCTTGGAGAAGACTTCTTAAACTTAGGACTGTGATTTCCCCTTGGATACATAAACATAATGATGCAGTTTATTGGGATTCCAAGGAGATGGATGCTTACTCAGTCCGTCGAGTCTGGGAAACTTTGAGGAGCAGGGCACCTAGAGTTGTGTGGTACAAGTTGGTCTGGAGCAGTAACTGCCCACCTCGTTACAACATGATAGTCTGGTTAATAATGAAGAATGCAATTGTTACAAGGGATAAACTACTAAAATGGGGAAAGATCGGGGAAGCAGCTTGTCCGCTCCGTGGCAAGGAAGTGGAGAGCAGGGATCACCTCTTTGCTCAGTGCTCTTTTGCAAGAGGCCTTGCTGCTGCGATAAGGTGTGACCTACTGCTGCACAATGATTGGGATGCTATGGTGCATTTCCTGACTTCTGCAGGATCAACAAGAAGAGGGGAATGGCAAGTTCTCGTTTGGTGCATGTTGGTGATGTTCATTTGGAAGGAAAGGTGCGGTGTAATTCATGGCGCACCATGTCGCACCCCGGGGCAAGTTGCAGACCTAATCAAACTAGAATTGATGTTTCTTTCATGTGGGAATAGAGGGTTCCGAGATGCCTTGGTTGGGCTGGGATACTTATAGTGTTTTGCAGTTTTGTTTCTATTGACTTAGTATAGAACTCAGATTGGGGTGGTGTGTTGTTCATGTCTAATGGGATGGTTATCCCGTTTTCGTTGTATTGGTTTTTACAGAAATAAAAAGCGAATGATTCAACGAAAAAAAATGTTTTTAAAAAATTTGGGTACCAAAAAGTAATTAAAATTTTGGGTTGGATGGAAAGTAGACGGATGCACATTTTGTCGACTTTATGGTACCCGATACCCTATTCAAACTTAAGTGGTATGCCTATCCCAATTCTCAAAGTTAAGTGGTACCCGAGGTATTTTATCCTGAAGTATTTATATGAGGGATATCACCAAAATAGTGTGCATTACGTCGGCATTCGGCCATATTCATCCATTTGAAAAGAGCTTTGAGCATGAGAGATTTTTGAGGTCATGTATTTCGAAATTTATGCAATATCCTAATTTCAACTATTAAATCAACAAGGTAAAGAGACTAGACGATGACACTCAGTTTCATGAGATGGAAATCAGAGATTAAGAGACTAAAACTAAGTTGTCATCACGTACTGCAACAAGCTCGGTAACTAAGTGGTACAAAGAGACATGGAAATGAGACCCTAACATCAATCTAACATGCCCGCTTCACGAACAACTTTACCTTATGAGCAGCAATTACAACGACAGATGGTCGCAACAAATCAGATCTTCAAGAAGTTGACTTGTAGTATGTGTTAGTGTGTATTTGGGATTGGGATTGGGAGGGGTTACCGGGCTACGACTTTACTCTTATAAGAATAGTCGATTGAGCAGCAAAGGATGCTAATGAATCTACAGGCGACATTGTGATAACACCCTGGAGGGGTGTTGAAGACCAGAGTTGCACAGAATCCACCCAATTCAAAGGATTGAATTGGTTGACTTGTTTCTGACGAAACCGAGTTGCAAAACAAGCTATAAGAAGCCAGTTTGACACTCGTGTAGGGATGGAATCAACGGGTTTCTTCACACCTGGGAAGAAGCACGAATGATATAAGGTCAGCTTCGATGTAGTTGAGCGTGATTTCTCAACCAATAGGCCAAATTCATCAAGTTTCGATCACAATCAAAACCAAACAAAACTCTCAAACTCACGCTTGGAATTTATAGGGCAAAAGATTCAACTCTCATTCTCCGCCTTCATTGTTACACGACAAGCCTTTATATAGGCCAAACAAACACAACTTGAAAGTAACCTAATTAAACAAGGAAAGAAAGTTACAACACGAATCCTTATGGAACAAGGATTCCCACGCAGTCCAGATACCCTTTTGCCACGTCTGGCCGTTGTACTTCTAGTTTGATTCGAACTCAACCAATCCCTTGTCTTTGTAGAAGAAAACTTCCTCTTTCACCTCCAACTTGAATCAGCCCGAGATCATACCCCAAACTCCAGATACAGGCCTTCAAAGTTGGTATCTCAAAACACTTGTCTGCCTTAGCCAAATATTGGCAGTTTTTCTGTTTTGAGGTAGCCTTTTGTCGAGCTTCGAAAATGACCTTCCAGGCAACCCCTTGAGCTCCACAATATACCAATGTAAACTTAAGAACTTTCTCTTTAAAATGGTGCATTGAACAAGAATTTCCATCGAGCCATTTGGAAGGTATTGGCTCCCAAAGTAGGTAGCTTGAACTCAAATGGACACTTAGCCAAATTCTTACCTTCTTCTTTCCAACTTCAATGGCTTCTTTGTCAAGTAATTGTGGGTTATCTATTGACCCATTTGGGATCATATCAGGCCCCCCTGTAGAAAAAGCTTTGCCCTCAAAGCTTGTGCCTTTCTTCGATCAAAATCGGCACAAAATTGATCACAAATTGGATCACAAGTAGGCTGTCCAAACTCCCTGTCCTGGAAGAGTAGGGCATAGTTCATCATGTCTAGAATTGGGGATTTCCATTCTTGGCATCTCCAGCTCGGTTCATTGTCTCCATCAGTTTCCTCAGTCATGGAATCGAGTTTCTGTACCATCCCTTTGCCTTGAATCGACGTCTGCAGCGTCGACTCGTCTCCTCTTTTCTTCCCGCCATCGTCGCCATTTGAAAATGACGAACTCAGAAATCTCAATCGAAAATTGGGGGTTTTCAATCTAGGCGTTCCTGGGCTGAATTGCGGGTTCCGAGAGCTTCTTGTGATGCTTCCCAACAATTCCACCTCAACCACTTGGTTTGACTCATGCCCGATCGCCACAACCAATTCACTCATTTTTCGGTCGAGTTTACCTGCGTTCAGATCACTTTCAGCTCGAATTGGATTCCAAAATCCAGCTATCTTCATTCTAATTTGACTTGCATTTGAGCTTTCTTGAGACAATTGGAACGTGTCTGACGTTTTCCCGAGTTCGAATCATTACCAAACTCCCTGATGAGATACCCCTTTCTCCTCTCCTGCTCCGTCGTCGACGGGGAACAAAGTTGTTCTTTGCTCGGTGGCTGGGCTCGTTGTCGCCTGATTGCTGTGAGTACCAATCTCCGAGCCACCAGACTACCTTTCTCACCTCTCTCCACCTTACCTGAGCTCGATTGGCCTCCAATTGTCGTAGGTCAGCACGAGCCTCGGCCGGCGACAATGGAGTCAGCTTCATCATCTTTCCATCGAGCTTGAACGTGTATTAGTTCAAACGCCCATGGTGCGTGACGCCTCGATCGTACTGCCAAGGTCGGCCCAAGAGGATGTGTGCAACATGCATCGGAGCCATGTCACAAAGAATTTGATCCTTGTACTGATCAATTTCAAATTCAACCCACACCTGCTTTGTGACTTTCACCGCACCATGATCGTTGAGCCAGTGCAGGCTATAGGGCTCGTGGTGCTTCAATGTGCTTAGCCCGAGCTTTCTGACCATCTCCATACTGACGATGTTCATGCAGCTGCCGCTGTCAATCACCATGGAGGCGTTTTCCCTTGAACTTTGCAGTGAGTGTGAAACGGATTCTCACGCTGCTGAGTCTCGGCAGTGGTTTCAAGGGTGAGAGCTCGATCCTGCGTTAACTCCTCCTCTTCTTCCTCTGAGTGCCCCTCTCCGTCGCGCAAGATCATGGTCTTTGGGTTGGGACATTGG